CTAATGATTTTATAGACCAAATGAGTTATAACTTCAGTCAAAATTAGAAGTGCCAAACGGTTGCGCATAAGGAAAACAGTACACTCTATCAACTCAGGTGAACGGGAACATGAAATGGTAAAGGGCTCGTTTGCACAAGAAATCTGAATACTTCATGTGAAGAGCTGATCACTTAAAAAGAAGTAAACGTTTCCTTGTTTAAAGAGTCGACAATAAATCTAAGGGTCTCGAATGTTGAGTTTAGTCTATCTGGATCGGAGGGGCAGAACCAGGACATTACTGAGGTCTGCAAGTTACTGGAAGGTATTGTGGTGATCCAGGCCTACGTGATGACGCCTACACTGGAGCGGGGCGCTACAGTTTCTGGACACCTACGATCAATTGAATTTCAAAGGTAACGTCAGTGACGCGCGTACGTGTCACTGCCTCTGACTACACAATAGGCAGATTGTGCCAGTTAATCCGAGACGGTGTAGTTTAGACAGAAGCAGAATTATGCAAGCAATACTGTAATACGATTGGTGGAAGCCTAAATAACCAATAATCTTCTTTTGTACATATTATTTAATCGCCCTCATTTCTTCGAATAAACGAACCACGAAATACCATTCTTGTGGCCTTTTCCTCGTGTCTAAGTTACATGGAACATTGTGTGCTAGTGCCACTGCGGTCCAGTGCTTACGTGATCCAGTCCGTAATAGCTGATCCATGATTCGTGCCCTGTGATTCCTATTCCGTGGTTCGTGTTCCGAGTTCTGTGCGTATTACTACTACTACAATCATTACAGTACACCCCGTCTAGCACAATACAGCAGTAATAAACACGGAACCATACAGGAAATAAAATAAGAGGTATGGCTGCCGATATTACATGAATATTTCATCACTGTGCAATAAACGTTCGAATCGGACGCAAGTTCACAGCTGCATAGAGCTCAGGATGGCGGTGAGATTTGAGCTTCCTCTCCTACCTCTTCTCTCAATACTTTTTACTTTTTCACTTAGTTCGATAAATAAAGAAGATCGAATACAGGGGATACATAAACTACCTACCTGGGAATATTGTGAGTCAGTTGCTGATCAGTGTAAGAGATGAAATGATATCTACCGGATCACGATGAGAACGGAGAAACTTTGGGACTTTATAAACAATGTCTAGATTACTCTGAGAGCCTCGGTCCGACAAAAGGCACAAGCGTGACACAAGAACCCAGACGACTGGATAAATGAGGATACCAAGCATCGCATATAATCGTGATTATACTCGTTTAACAGTGTGGATTATGTAGTTTGTTCATCTGCTTCCATGTGCATATTTTTGTGTGCGTGCGTACATACGTATGCATGTGTGTGTGTACATGCATGTATGAATATAGCTATGCCTGCGCCAATAGATGTGCATGTAAGTCCTTACGAATGTCATGAGGCATTGGTTTACTGTATATGAACAATGCACACATCGGAACGCGTATAGGTTCCCCATTGGCACGTGTGCATGAAATTGCATTACCAAGTAAAGATTTATTAATAAGTTGCATACATTGGGAAACTGAAGGTGGGTGATGTCCTCATTAGGAGAAAGTTGAGTTTCGAATGGACATGCAGTTAAAAGGAAATTTAACAGGAAAATTTGCTGCACAGAATCGCTTTTGCGTTTCAAACCGTGAATGCTAGTGAGTGTGATTTTCGTGTCAGTAGAGTGAGCACACAATGTAATCTTGTTCATAAATTCAAATTTTTCAGAAATTTTACCTTTTCGATTTGATCATTATTAGTTGTCACACTTGATCATGATTTGAAAATTTTATTTTACATTAATTTCCGAGTTTTTTTCACAGTGCCTTTCTCATGCTGCCGATTCGGTTGACTATATTGTCGCCTCCGTAACACAGCCATTACCATGAAGCTGATTCAAGTCTACAATGATATCGGATCCGGTTCTTTTGCCATAAACCAATTGTTAAAGGCATTAAATACTGTCTCGGACAAATTTGAGGTCATACAAACAAATGGAGA